CTCCATCAAGTGGTGTGACCTCAGAAATACCAGCATCCTGTTCCATTGGTTGTTGAATGAATAAACAGTTCGGTCCATTTTTTAATCAGTGTGCAAGTCCGTGCTTGCTCTTGCTCTGTTTTCCTCTGTGTTGGGCACCACCGCAATTCCCCAAGCAGAGGCCGCCTAGGTCTGCTGTGGCCAGCACAGGGAACCAGGGCACCGACTTCCGCAGCCTAAGCAGGATGTGGGAGGCCGGGGGTGTTGCAGAATGGCCTGTGCTCCCTGCTAGCCTGATACCCACTTAGGTCCAGCCAGCGCTTTTCCTGTAGCTCTGGCCCAGCTGCCCTTTGCCATCCCCCTGCTGTATGTGGCCTTGTCACGTGTGGCTATGTGGCGGGATACACCCTAGAGGGCAGCAGCTTGCCCCAAGCCACACCATCCACCTATTATTACATCACAGGTGGTGAGGGGACCCTTCTGTGGTTAACTGTATGGAGCCGCCTCTCTGTGTGCGTGCATGGTGGTGCCACTGACCAGCTAGTGGTCTTTATGCTCAGTTGTCTGTCATCCTCCACCTTTCTTTTTCCTTTATTGCTCTTCACAGGGTCACTGTCGGGAGGCTTTCACATCAGTGCCTCTGGTGAGGCGTTCAGTGACAGAGATTGCAGGTTTCTGGAAGCTGTGCCTTAGCAGGCCGATGCTGCTGTGCACCTGTGGTGCACCCTTCTTGCACATAGACAGATGGCCAATGACGTGTGTGGTTGGAGATGCTGCCTGCTGGCCAGTAGTGGGGTTCAGGTTCTCACCATGTGCTCAGGGGCTGTTCTGGAAAGTGACAGATTTTCCCAGAAATCACATCAGAAAGGAGCCTGAGAAAGAAGAGATTTCTCCAGGTGGAGAAGGGCATGTGGGCGGAGTGCCACATGGGCGGCATCAGAGGGCTTGGAATCCAGGCAAAAGTGCCTTTGTGCACATGGAAAGTTCTTTTCCATGACAGTCCTCCAGTTTTCTGACACCACCTAGATGTCCACACTCAGCTTAATTCTTACACTGCATGGAGTCGGCTCAGATCCCACAGGCTAAAGGGCTCGGTCCTGCGAGACTGTGTCTGCTTCAGACACCAGCCGCAAATGGAGTGTCCAGGCCACCCACACCCTGCCTTGCCAACTCCAGATTAAGGGGTTCCAGTGACCTCCTTCAGGCTCGATACTTTGACAGATGGCTCCCAGAGCTCAGGAAAACCATGTGTACTGGCTTACTTAGGAAGGACGGTTTGCTGGTTTTCAGGCAGATGAGGAAGCACCTGATGGACGGCTGTGAGTCACGGGTCCTGCCGGCAGTGGCGGCCCTTCCCTGTGGGGCCCGAGGGGCAGTACACCTGAGCTCAGGCTGAGGCACTGTCCCCTCCCTGCTTGGAACGGGGGACAGTGGGATGCCTGGGCGGGCCGAGTGGGCCCTGCACTCTAGAAGCTGTTGCTGTGGGATGGTGTCTGTGAGCCGTGATGGCCCAACGTCCACATGCCAGGTGGCTGGGTGCAGAACACCCAGAGCGCAAGAGCTGACGGGAGGCAGGATCAGGGCGGAGCATGTCCAGTGTTGATTAAAAAGAGAAGCAGGTGACCAGGTCCCTTTCACAGGACCAGGGCGATTTCTTCTCGGTAGTTAGTGCTTTTAGGTAGCTGTTGCTGGATGATTCCTGGTCATTCTAAAACTTAGGTGTTAGAGACGGGGTTTTTTTCCAGCTTATTTTTTAATTACATAGAGTTAAGTTTTGGTTTTTGGTGTAGTACTGTGAGTTTTGAGGTGTACGTAGATTTGTCATGTAACCGACAGCACAGTCAAGACACAGAACATTTTCAAATGTTCTTCCCTCCCTGTTTCTCTGGAACTGCCCCTTTATAGTCAAAAGTCCCCCCACCTGTGACCCCTGGTGGGCACCTAACTATCCCTGTAGGTTATCCAAGTCCCGAATGTTGTATCAGTGGGGTCACAGGGTAGGTAGCTTTAGAACCAGGTTCCAAGTCCACAAGCAGTGCATGTGGGATTCATCTGCATTGGCACCTGGGCTGTGGGCGGGCCGTGTCTACTGGAAGGCTGGCTTGGTGTGTTCCTCCTTCTCACTCGAGGGGCACTGGGCACATTTCAAATCTGGGAGATGAGCAATAGGCTGCCACGGGGCTGTGGTGGCAGTGTGGTAGACAGTGCGGTAGACAGTGCCTGTGGTGGGCTCACTGGGCTGCACAGGAGGCGTTTGTTTAACTAGAATTACCTTCTCGCCTTTGGCAGGAGCCAGGTGGCCGTGGCCATGTGTGTGAGGGCCTGTGTCTGGACAGTCTCTTCTGTCATCCGTGTATCTGTCCTTCCGCCAGGTCACCGTCCTGATGCCTTGAAATCAGATAGTGTAAAACCTCCAACTTTGTTCTCCTTTTCAAAAGCACTTTGTTACCCTAGCTCCTTTACCTTTCCATGGAGGTTTTAGAAGCAGTTAAGTCATCTATAAAAAATTCGACTAGGATTTTGATTGAAATCTGTAGATGAAGTTGGAGAGAACTGACACCCTAATAATACTGAATTTTTAATGTGCAGATGTAGCGCTTCTCCATTACCGAGGTCCTTGCTGTCACTGGTGTTTGGCTGTGTTGAGCACATGGGCCCTGCACACACTTCACTAGTCACTGGACCTCGGTGTTTCTCGTTCCAGTGCTGTTGTGAGTAGGGCTTCAGTTCCAGTTCTGACTGTTGAGCGCTAAGTATATAGAGCTACAGTTTGTTTGTATAGTGACCTTGTGTCTTGTGGCTTTGCTAAAAACTCATTTATTAGTTGTAACGGCTTTTCTGTCGATTTCTTTGTAATTTCTGTGTGCAGGATTGGATTGGCTGTGATTAGAGGAGGCTGGGCTTCTTGCTTCCCAGTCCAGATGTGCCTTTTATTTCTCTATCTTCTCTGGCTAGAACTCCAGCACTATGCCGAGTGGCAGTGGAATGAGCGCATCTTGTCCCTTCCCTGGCTGTGGGGAGGCACCTCACCTGTCCCCACTGAGTGTGGGGCTTGTTGTCAGGTTTTGTTGGGGCTTTTTGTTGGCTTGAGGGAGGATGCTTCTTTTCCTGGTCTGCTGACTTTTTATCATAAAGGCCATTGGATTTTGTCAAGTGTCCTTTCTGTATCTATTGACATGAGATGTTTTTCTTTAATTTGTTAATATACTGAATTAGGTTGATTAATTTTTTAAAAAACACCTCCCCAGTCAAGTCCTCCTTAGACACCAGTGTCCCCTCCTCCATATGTCCGTGGTTGTTCAGTTTGCTGATGCTCTGTTCTCGCCCTGTGTTCATGAGGGGCATCGGCCTGTGGTGTTCCCGTGTGTCTTCGGGGTCACATCAGAGCCTTGCTAGCAGTTGCCCGTCCTCTGGAGGTGAAGAGAGTCAGTATCATCTCTCCCGTGCATGTGTGGAGTTGTCTCTGGGGTAGCCGTGTGCCCTAGAGCTCCCTCTGGGGACAGTTTCCTGAGTAGGGAGATCCGGGGAGTTTGCATTTCTCACAGAATTGTTGCGTTTTATCTAGCTTCTGGAATTCACCGATGCTGGGCTGTCTGATGCTCCCTCTCAGCACCGCAGCGCCTGCTGGGCAGTGATCCCCCAGACTTCTGTACTGCGGTCAGTGGGTCACTTCCGCCCTTTGTGCTCTTGAGCTTCAGGCCTCACATGCCCTGACAGGCTTAACCGTTCGTGACATGCCGTGGCCACTAGGCATTGGCCTTTCCCAGAGGCTGCTGGGTGCCTTTGGGCTTCTAAGCATGAGTTCTTCCCGTGTGTTGGGGGTCCTCTGCTTTGTCAGGGGGAATCCTGGAGCTGTGGTGAGTGCAGGTCCTCCTCCACTTGCCTGCAGGCCACAGCCTCCATGTGGCTGCCAGTTGTTGTGTGTCCTCACAGGCTGAGTGTGAGCCAGCCATCGAGGATGGCCTGGGGCCGGGTGTTTTGGGGGAAGCTGCCCCTCACTGAGGTGGTGCTTGGGAGTGGACATGTCTTACGGGACCTGGTGGAAGATAATGACCAAATAGAGCAGGTTCTTCGCTCTCGCTGGAAGCAGCACCTTTCCTCCTCACGGAAGCGGGTGGAGGAGAGGGCCCTGCCGCCCAGGCCAGTACTGTGGGCCTTCTGAGGAGTGGAGGTGGGCGTGGAGCTACGGGGCCCAGGGCAGCCTGGGCCGCCGGAGCCCAGGAGATCCGAGCAAGGACCTGCCTCTCGCGGCTTCACAGAGCATGGGGCCCTGCTGACACCTTCATTTCGGACTTCTGGCTCCAGAATTGTTGAGAAGTAAGCTTCTGTTTTGAGCCACCCTATGGTAGTCTGTCAGGGCAGCCTCGGGAGACTTAATACAGCCGCACCCGGGGAGGGGGCCAGACCGCGTCCTTCGTTCTCCAGGGCGGCTCCACAGAGGCCCAGGGCCGCTTGGGGTCAGAGCCGCCCCCTGGGTTGTGCCTGCCGTTGTTGCACAGAGCTTCCCTCTTCCCCGAAAATGGTTCAGTGGGTGGTTGCCCATCGACCTTTCTGCTCTCTGGTCACAGGACTTGGTGGTCTCAGAGCCAGGGCGACTTGGAGCTGGAAGGGAGCCAGGCCAGGCCCTCCCAGCCCCCCGGGGTTAGTCTCTGCAGGAGCTTCAGCCTTCAGGGAGCTTGGCCTCTGCCACACGGAGCGTTGCTGTCCGGCTTACCTTCTCCCTTCTGTTATCTCTCTTACGATCTTCAAGTTTTTCTCCTCAGGTTTATCTTTAGATTTTTGACTAATTTGCCAGACTCGGGTTCAGAAGAGTCTCATGCTCGCCAGCTGTGCAGAGTGGTGCTGCGCGCTCTTCGTCCACGTCTCAGAGGGCACTGGGATAGGCGGGGGCTGGGCGGCGTGCTCTGTGAGGGGGTGAAGAGGACCAGAAGCTTCTGGGGGGAAGCAGACAGCCCGGGAGCAGCTCCGTGAGGCGGGCACACTTGGTCTGGCTTTTCAGGAGCGGTCGCTCTGTCTTTCAGTATTTTAACCACATCAGTATTGAGGACTCACGAGTCTATGAGCTGACCAGCAAGGCCGGACTGTTGTCTCCCTATCAGATCCTCCACGAGTGCCTTAAAAGGTAGGCTGGGGCTCTTCCCCTGCTAAGTCAGGTGGCGGGGGCCTCCCTCGGGGGGTCCTGGCTCCAGGGGTGATGCTAGAGGCCGAGCATGTGAGCCTTCCCCCTGGGCACCACAGCCTCTCATGCCTGGCACTCAGCGTCCATGGGATCGGAGGGGGGTCCTTGGAGAATCCCCTCCAGCTGAGCAGCAGTTTGGGGAAAGGCTGCCATGTCTCAGCGTCTTCAGAGGGCTTTCTGGAAGCAGCCATTTCGTCCTCCTCAGCTGATGGCCCCCGTTGTCCGTGTCTCTCCTAAAGGAACCATGGGATGGGTGACACAGCCATCAAGTTTGAAGTGGTTCCTGGTAAAAACCAGAAGAGCGAATATGTCATGGCGTGCGGCAAACACACAGTGCGCGGCTGGTGTAAGGACCGCCTCCCTCCTGCCGTCCCCTCGCTCTGACACGCCTGGGGGTTCGGTCCTGCTCTCTGACCTCTGGGAGCCTTAGGCTTTTGTGCTGTGGTCCTTGGCTACTGCACTGGCCTAGCTCCCAGGCTCTGCATGTGGCTGATGCCTGTGGTGTGTCCACTAGCCTCTCCTTTTGGGAGCTGGGGCCCAGTCGGCCTGAGGATCCTGGGGTGGTTCTCCTGCCTTCAGGGCTCGGGCTGGTCACGTGGGCTAGGCCGGGTGCCCCCCTCCTGCCACCACTGCGCCTGTCCAGCCCTCAGTGCCTGTGGTAAGTGGAGGAGCATCCCCAACACGGCAGCAGGCCCGCCTGCTGCGTGGCACACCCACTGCTGCCTCTGGTGTGTGTGCATCGCCCGCGCTCTTTACTGAATTCAGTATTTGAAGTACCCACTTTAAAAAAAATGTGACTTTATTTTAGAAGATAATTTTGTGTAACTACTATAAACACAAAACCAGTGCTGTGTAAATAAGAAGGTGATGTTGGCCCTGGCGCATTGCAGAACCGCATCCAGACCTGGGTGTGCCCCGTGGCCACAGACACCGGTCCCCACCGAGATGCCTTCCTGGGCAGGTGCGCGGGGCCACAGACCCGTTGTCCAAGCTGGAGACCCTGTGGGATGTGTGGCAGCCCTTGGCCCTGGGCTAGAGCTATGTTCTAGAAGTTGCTGCTCCCTAGACCCACTCTGCGCCTGCCCTGCCTTTCTGCCAGGGATCCACTAATCCTATGCGCGCGCACCCCCTGGAAACTCTCCTAGGCGTCTGGTGAAGCCCCCTCCCTCGTGTGTGCCCCCAAAAGCCCCAGGCCTGAGCAGCATCGTTGCTGCCGTTGCTGCTTGTCTGTGTGACGAGAATGTGGGGTTGTGGTGGGAGGGAGGCCTCTTAAGCTGTGACCTGAGGCCCATCCTGACCTTCTAGAGCCTCTGGGGGGTCTTCTGAACAGCAGGGTCAGGGTGGACCTGGCCTCAGGGCAGTGAGGCTCTGGTGCCAGTGCAGGGAGTGCTTGCCACCCCCACCGATAGCACCAGCTCTGGGCTGGGTGTTCGAGGCTTCCTCTCCCTGTTCACAGGTAAGAATAAGAGAGTCGGGAAGCAGTTAGCCTCTCAGAAAATCCTTCAGCTGTTGCACCCTCATGTCAAGAACTGGGGGTCCTTACTGCGCATGTATGGCCGGGAAAGCAGCAAGATGGTCAAACAGGTAACCGGACCACTCCATAGGCCGGTCCATGTTGGAAGGGGCTGGAGCGCCACTGCCTGGCAGGAGACATGCATGGTGAGAGCCACCAGCCCCAGTGCAAGCAAGGCCTGGGAGCAGAGGGAACTCACGGCCCCTCCGCAGCTGTGAACACGCAGGCTCCCGTAAACTAAACAGTATGTTGGCTGTTTTGTTTCTGTTGTTGTGCCAACATCTCGAGATTTAAACCAGTACCCTCAGGTTTTCGTGCTTTGTGGGGTGAAGGGAAGTGGTAGGAGTGAGTTTTTTGTTTTTCACTTTTCCCCTGACGTTCATGGAAATGGTCTGCGTTATCGAGACCCCAGTAAGTGAAGGGATAGTTGTTGTGGAGGCTGGGGACTGCACATGCTGACCCAAGGGCCATGCCATGAAGCCTCAGGCCATCCCTGAGCCGGACATGCTGGGGTGAGGGAAGTAACACTGGGCCCCCAAAGAGCTTAGAGGAATCCCAGATTCTGTCATTGAGAAAATTTGAGTACAGTGCAGGCGAAGCTTCTTTCTGCCTTTATGTATGTGCTTTACTTCTGTGCATTGTCTCGGGCTCAGATGGCCGGAGGGAAGGTCCACTTTGGTCCCTGATGGAACGAGGGCTCCAGTCCAGGCCCAGCTACAGCCGCACCCACTTTTGCAGGACAGGTGGAGTCTGGCAGCCCAAGGCACAGGAGGCATCCTCAGAGATGGCCTCAAGGCAGGAAGGGCCTTGGGCAGCTTGTTCTGCTGTGCAAGTCACCGCCCAGGGAGGGCTCAGCATCGGGGGCTGATGAATGCCCATGCCTGTGCCGTCCCTGTTGGCCAAGGCCATCCTGGCCACTCCAGTCTGAGGGCTCTGGGCACAGTGAGTGGCCCACTGATGACCACATCAGGGCTGAATCCACCTGCACTTGTGTCCGGGGCTGCAGTGGAGACAGCTGGGTGCCGGGGGGCCTTTGCCCTGTGAAGGGAGAAGGCCGTGGCTCTGCCTGCTGAGAATGAGGGGTGTATCCAGGCGAGCTGCCGTGCCTGCTGCTGTGTCACCCTGCCAGGCACAGGCCAAGGGAGGGGCAGCTAGTGTGGCGACTTGCAGTGCTGGCTCCCGGCCGCGGTGCACCTGCGAGGCCCGGGCGGCCCTGAGGGCAGGCGCTCTGCTCCCCAGGAGACCTCCGACAAGAGCGTGGTGGAGCTGCAGCAGTATGCCAGGAAGAACAAGCCGAACCTGCACATCCTGAGCAAGCTGCAGGAGGAGATGAGGAGGCTGGCCGCGGAGAGGGTGCGTGTTGGCCGTGCCTCTGGGCCCTCTGCCCTTGCCCCGCGGGAGGAGGGAGCCCCAAGCTGCGGCCACACTGGCAGCCGGAGGGGAAAGACAGCACCCAGGAACCTGTCACTGCAACCTCATGCCGAGGCCGCATTCAGGCACCCGGAAAGCCCGCTTTCCCAGCAGACTCTCGGCTTAAATTCAACTTGCTTTTCCTTGAGTTTCGTCATTCATGACACTTGCATCAGATCACTGTTTTGAGTGGAGAGCTTGCAGCCCTGGCCTGTGGTTTTGAAGGGCCCAGCCTCTTGTGTGCTGACCCTGGGTTTCCACTTGATGCTGGCCGTTGGAAGGCAGGGATGGTGCACTGCCCGGGACCCCTCAGTCAGGGTTCTTGGCAGGACAGACTGCCGTCCTGGACCCCTTCCTCCTCAGGTGGTTGGCAGTTCTGTGAGGAGGGGTGTGTGGTTCACAGAAAGTGAAACCAGGGTAGGGCTCAGTTCCGGTGAAGCTTCCTGCAGCAACCCACCTAAGGTGCTTCTGGGCTAGGACCTTCTTCAGCTGAGGTATTAGCCTGAGCCCGTATAAAACTCTCTGAGAGGGAGGCGTCAGCTATCTCTAGCCGATCTGATTCAGGAGATGCGTTGCTCCTGTCCTGGGTTGGGGTGGGGAGCACCACCCAAGTGGCTTGTCCCTGGTGGTGTGACCTCACCTCTGGGTATGCGTCCTGATGGCCAGGGAATGGCATGTGGTGCTCTGCGATGGTGTCCAGGAAGACCCTCCCACCCTGCCTCCCACCAGCCTACTCTTCAGGCCCTGCCCACCCTCCCAGCCTGGCTTCTTGAGCCACAGGTGCCCTCTTACTCCACAGGCTGCTTGACAGTGGTCTGCTGGGCTCACCCCTGCCCTCCTGTCCCACTTGGGAGCCTCTTGCCTGAGGTTGCACATTCCCACATCATCTAATCCCTGACCTTTGTTCTTCCAGGAGGAGACACGGAAGAAGCCCAAGATGTCCATCATGGCGTCTGCCCAGCCTGGCGGCGAGCCTTTGTGCACCGTGGACGTGTGAGGGGGTGGCGGGGCTGGGCATGAGGACGCCACTGTCTGCAGCCTCGGGCCTCTGATCTGAGCTCCTCCCCTGCAGCCTCCTGTCGGAGGGCTGGGGCCAGAGGGGTGGGGCTCCAGTGCATGGGGACAGCTCTTCTTGGGGGCTGCCCACAGGTCCAAGTGGATGTGTGCAAGGACGGCCTCAGCCCTGCCACACAGGTGAAGCCAAGCACTTGGGGTTGGCTGTGGACCTCTGCTTGTGCAGCCTCGCTGCAGACTGATTTTATGAAGGTTTCCATGAATTTTAGTACACAATGTGCACAGATGAGAAGTGACAGCTGGATGACAGATGACACAAGACGGTGTCCTTGGTGCCCTGTGCCCAGGGCTGCTGTGGGCCACTGCTAACTTGGGCAGAAGGTGCACGCTGGCACTCTGGCCTCCCTCCTGTTTTCCCTATTCTCTGAAAAGGTTCCAGCAGTTAGGAAGGAGTGTTTCAGACTTGTTTATTTAAAATAGACACAATTTTAGCATCAGAACTTCTTTCAGAGATTGTAGGCAATCCATCAAGGTCATTCTCCAGCCTTGAAACACTTGGCCAGCGTATGAATTCCACCAGGGCCCACCTGTGCATGCCCTGGCCCTGGCTGAAGTGCGTCCGTTTTTCTGAGAGTCTTAATGCCCTAAAGGTGTACCTTGGACACCGAGGCCTCTCACCTCTGCTGGCCTCTGGCAACTTTTTATTCAGGATTTTTGCACAGTCAAGTCCATCTGTTCCCCCATCAATTTTTAAAGCTTTTATGGTATTTTAGCATTTGGAAAGAAACTTTTTCAGTGAGAGTAGAAGATAGATTTGGGATCATGTAGCAGATATAAATAATTAATGCATTTTAGCATGTGGACTTATTTGAAAAGAGGAAATGAGGACCTTCAGTGCAATCCATTCTTGATCACGAACTGGCACGTCTCTGGAGCTGGCATGAGCACGTGGGCAGCCCCCCGACAACAGCCCCACTGGATTTCAAGGGCAGCCACCTTGCACAGCTAGACCTGATGACCGGCTCACTCCTCTGACTAGTGGTCTGTACTCCCCAAGTGGCCCCTGGGACAGGTGGAGGGAGGGTAGACATGGTCCTGCCCGGGGCCCCAGGGGACAGCGTGTGCCTGGGGCCTTGGGTTCCCAAGGGCAGGATGGTGGTGCTTGGCCGCTGGCTCCCCGCCCCAGTGCCTGTTCAGTGCTGCACAGCTGGACACAAGGGCATGGCACTGGGCTGTGCCGTCATGTCCCGTGGGTGGTGCTGATGGTGCCTGCTTTCAGAAAGACGGTGTCAGTCTAGCGGGCTGCCCACAGTGTATCCCCTCCTCACCACCTGTGACCAAGGTTGGCTTCTGTTGACCTTTATAAAACTCACACATCAAATTGCTGTAATTAGATACTTGCTTCTGTCTTGCTTCCTGTCTGCAGCTGTGAGTAGTCATTTGACGTGACTTTGCCCTTAAAGTAGCCAGGTGTGCACTGTGAACCAAAGTTTCATGCACATGTGTTACTGGAGGTGGGTGGGCCTCATGGTCCTCCTTCCTCTGTCCCATGTGGGTGAGTGTTGTGCACACAGCCATGTACAGGGGCAGAGAGCAGGGAGAGCCTGTGCCGCCACTACAGCCCTTGTCCTTTGCGTCCCAGGTCAGGGATGGGCAGGGGCTGGGAGGGTGATGAACCTCAACTGAACACATAAAGAGAAATGGTCCAAAAGGGAGTGCCTGGTGTGTGTTTCATGGCTGTGGGAAGCTGTGGATGTGGGCACAGCAGCCAGAGCCCCTCCTGGAGCTGCCCCCCTCACCAGGCAGGGTGTGTCTGGACCCAGCCCCTGGTCCCTTCTGTGGCCACCAGGACGGCGCCTCCCTCCAGGGTTTAGAGCCGGTCTGGGGACGGAACGAGGCTGAGATGCAGGGGAAGCTGGGGCTGGGCCAAGCCCAGGGCTGGGTTGGGGGGCCTCTCCACCCCAGCACACAGTTGGCTGTGAGGTCTGCATCTCCGCTGCTCAGAGCAGAATAAAAGCAGATGTTCAGTCCCACAGAAGCTCTGCCGTGACCACCAGCCATGTAGAAGCTGGGAGAGCTGCCCTGACCCCAGAGTGAGTACTGGCCATGCCTAGAGCAGGTGGGGTGCTAAGCAGGATCCAGAGGTCAGACTTGGACGTGTCCTGGTGTGGGTGGGGCCTGAGGTGCCCTCCTCCTGGTGCTGCCCCCTTGACCTACAGCACGGAGCAGTGAGTCCCGGTGCCAAAGCTCAGTTCTTGCCACAGAAACACTGGTGGTTTGCCAACTGTTTATTCTGGCCCAGCTGATCTAAAAAGAATGGGTGTCGGTCCTAGGTTTGGGCAGCCAGGTCTTGTGTCCTCCTCCAGCTGCCGCCTGAGTGGCCCAGGGCAAGGCTGCGGTCCGAGGCGGGCTCTTCATCTTCTCCAGCAAGGCAAGGCCGCAGGTCCCTGGGGCCCCACCCGAGATCCTCTTGGTGGGAATTAGCAGAAGGCATTGGGGGTGGGGTGGGAGGGGACCTGGGCCTATTCTGGAAGGGCTAGTGCCCCTTCTCCAGGGTCCTAGGAAGAGGGGGGTGTCCTGGTTTCTTGTGGGGTGTCCTCTGGGGGCACTGGTGGGGGCTGGGCTGGAGGGTCCTGGGACCCCAAAGCCCCTGCACCATCAGGGGGCTCCACTCTCTCAAACAGGATGAGCATCTCGCAGTGTGGTGTCTGAGGGAACAGGTCCACAGCCACAGCCTTGACGGGCCGGAAAGGGATACCCCTCACCCGGTTAGAAGGGGCCCTGCAGAGGCTGTGGTAGAAAGGGTGCCAAGAGGTCAGCCACATGGGTCGGCCGGAGGGCTCAGGGGGGTGGGGCCCAGTCCACCCTAGGCCCCCACCTCACACTCACTCCACAAAGTTGCCCATGGCTGCCCGGGGGTTGCAGGAAACATACAGGAGGCGCTTGAGGTTCTCAGCTCTGCGGATGGCCAGGATCACTCTGGAATCTGAGGAGGCACAGACTTTGAGCAGAGGCCCCAGGACTCCCTACCTCAAGGAGGGCAGGGCCTGCTGGGAATGGACGTCAGTCCTGAGGCCACTCAGAGATCACTGCCCCTCTTCCCCTGCTCCCCACAAATAGCGACTCACGCAGCCCGGCACGGGGCGGGTCCAGGATGGCCACCAGCTGCTGGGAGGCCAGTCTGCTCACCACGGTGGGCACCAGGCCTTCAGCTCTCCCACAGTGGAATTCAACGTTGCTCAACCCTGGAGACAGCACAGCGGCCCTGTTAGGGATCCAGGACGCCCTCCCCTGGGCACCCACCCTGCTGCCTGATGATCTGAAGCCCCTGGCCAGGGTGCCTCAGGGTCAGGCAGCCCCAAGCGCCACGGGAGCCCAGCAGGCCCACTCGGGAGCAGCTCTTGCACCCCACCCCTGCCCTGGTTCCCAGGTGCCGTGCTGGGCACAGGGCAAGGGCAGCTGCTACTCAGGGCCCGCCCTCTGGTGTGGCATGCCGGCCCTCACCGTTGTCTCGGGCATTTGCCCGGGCGTCCTCCACCGCTTCCTGGCACAGCTCGATCCCGACCACTCTCTTTACCTTCTGAGGTGAGGAAAAGGGCACAGACCAACAGGTTCCCACCCCACCTTTCCTGGGGCGCACAAGGGGCCTGCAGGGGGAGGACCTGGGGGTCACGGGGTCGTGAGACAGGTGACAATGAAGGCGGGGTGGGGCAAGGGCAGCCTCTCTGGCGGGAGGTCTCACCCGGGCCAGGGCCAGGCCAATGGTGCCTGTGCCGCAGCACACATCTAGCACCGTGCTCCCCACATCCAGCTGGGCCCAGTCCTGGATGACTGTGTAGAGCACCTCGGCTGCCAAGGTGTTCACCTGGAGTGTGGGCAAGCGGCACCCAGGAAGTCAGAGCAGCCTCACCGCCCAGCCGCCCCTCCCACAGTCCCCAAGCCCAATACCTGGGTTCCCGGGGCACTTGGGGACCTCAGCCCATCCCCCTCCCTCCCTGTCTCCTGCTCCCTCCCACCCCACTGCCTGAGCAACCTGCACGGTCCCAGTCCTCACACTGCCCTCGCCCACATGACCTCACCCAGTGTCCACCTTTCAGAAGCAACTTGGGGCCAACACCACTGCTCCCCAACTCAGAAACCTCTTTACTGAGTGCCTGTGGGGCCCCCACAGCAACAGCAGGTGTCAAAGACCCCCCAGAGCCCTGCACCCACACACACAGACAGGTTCTCCAGTGGGGCTGGGACGACTGCCTTCCCACCTTGTGACTCCTGGGTCTGCACAGCCTCCCCAAACCTTGGCAAGCTAAGCCCCCATCTCTGCCCTGGTCCCGACCCTGCAGCAGGCCCTACACACACGGCCCCCGCGATGCGGGCTACCTGGAAGAAGGCATGAGGGGATATCCGGAAGGCCAGCCCCAGCAGGTCCTCATGGATGCACTGCTGCCCGGCCACGTGCTCCACGGGCAGGCCCTCTTGGCTGGGGGTCTTCCTGTGGGCAGTGGAGCAGGTCCGTCAGGGTCACCAGCCCTTGCAGGGACCCAACTACCCCGACCCAGGCTCCTCACCGCTGTCCCTCCTCCACAAAGTAGAGGCAGGTGACCCCACTGGCCTTGCCGGGCCCTGTCATGAAATGCTGTGCCAGGGAAGCCTTTAGTCCCACCAGCTCCTCTGGGCTCAGTTTCTGGAAGAGATGGTGAAAAGGCCTTGTGAGGCTGTGCCAAGGCCCACCTGGCCCAGACACCCACCCCCAGCAGGGCCTCCCGCCTGAGACCTGGGGATGGAAGTAGACAACAGCCATGGCCTGGCCGCGGCGGCTGGTACGCACAGTCAGCTGCTTCCAGTGGCCCGAGTACGTCTCTGGGTCGTAGGCTGAATACTGGGTGGACCTACGGGAGCCACAAGCCCTAGTCTCCGATGTCTGCCAACCAGGCCCGGGCTGGCAGCCTCCCTGCTCTCCCCCAGCCACACCTGTGGGGCCACAGCCACAGGAACCCGAGGCAGGATACAAGCCCCCAACCCAGCCACCGGTCCTCACCGAATGAAGTCCTGGAAGGTCTTCACCACCTGCTTGGTGGCCCAAGGAATGTGCACGGTGTCATAGGGGGCTGCCACGGCACAGCTCCCACCCTTGTACTTGCCAAGCCGAAAGCCCACCGTGTTGTCCTCCCCGTCCACCCCAACGCCAACCAGGAACTCACACTTGTTGCGATACTCCGTCTGCAGGGAGGGTGGAGGAAGGCAGAGAAACACGCCTGACCTTACCCAGGCCATCCAGCTCTTATGTGGAGGGAACACTGCAGCCCGTGAGATGGCAGCAAGCGAGGCAGAGGTCCCAGGGCTGGGCAGTCCAGGGAAGGAGGCTGACAAGTCACAGCCAGGTGACAAGTGCCAGGAGCAAACAGCAAGAGGAGGGACGGGAGAGGGTGGGCGAGAGAAGCTCCTGTGAGAGCACAGGATGAGGGTTCGTGGCTATGCCGGCTGGGCCTGACCTGCTGGGGTGACGGCTTGACCCCTTCCAGTGGGCAGCAGGCCTTGTTGTGCTCATGCCTCTGTGAGAGCAGCCAGGGGAGCAGGGCACGGTTGGTGCTCCCGATTTCCCTGTAGACGGGCCCAGGTTGGACTCAGCCCACTGCCCTCCCCACCCATCCCCAGCCACTCTCATCCTCAGACATCCTCAGGCACTGGGCCCATCTGCTGGGGCCTCGTCACCACTGGTAACACAGGGGTCTTGCTGGCTAACTCCCCAGCACAGCGCAGACCCTGGGCATGTCTGTACAGCACACAGGGCAGGCTGAGCAAGGCGAGTGGCACAGAACTCTGGCACCAAGGGGGTGATCCGTACCCACACTCACTTGGCGAGCTTCTGCAGCACCTGCTCACACTCCAGCCGCTTCTGCTCAAGCTGCTCCGCATAGGGCACGGTCCAAAGGGGGGTCACTACATCGGCAACGCATGTGGCTGGCAGCCCGCCTTCATCATCGCGTCGCCTCTTCCTGGCCATGGGATCAGCCTTGGGCCTGGCCAGGCGCACGCTGAGTGGGCGGCCCTTCCAGAGGGCACCGTGCAGAACGCGCAAGGCCTTGTCCCGCTCGGCGGCGCTGCGGAAGGTCACAAAGGCGCAAGGAGGTTGCCCAAAGAGTTTGGTCTTATGGGGCTGTAGGCCAAAGCGGCCCAGGAAGCGCCGGACGTCACTGAAGCTGGCATGGCGTGGCACGTTCTGCAGCTCCAACTTGAAGATCTCCGAGGTGAACAGGTCATCCCTGATGTAACTGTACGGCCCAGGCTGAGACCCCAGCTCCGCGGCGGCCCCAGTCCCCGAGTGCGCCCTCTCCTCCTGCGGGGTTGGGTCCTGGCCGCAGCCCTCCGTGGGCCCGGGGCCCTGTGTGGGGACGGGCAGGGGCTGGTCCGGGGGCGCCCCAGGACACCCAGACCTCACGAAGCACACCCTCCCCGCAGCGCCACCCCCTTGGTCCCTCGTCACCCCCAGCGCCTCCGCCCCCGGCTCCTCTCCCTCTCACCCCCGTCCCCGGGTCCTCCAGGGCCCTCCTACCCCGCCGCCGCCTCCATCTCCTCCCGCCCCGCCCCACATCCCCCGCCAGCATTTCTCTTCACTTTACTTCGTTGTGAAGCTGGTCACTCATCGTCCGACCCGTCCGCTCCCCGGACAGGGGGCCCTGCGGGCGCGCCTCTGCCACCTGGTTCTGGGCCCGGCAGCCCGGAGGCGCTCAGAGAGCGGGTGCGACGGCTGCGCCCGGGAGTGGGAGGGACTCGAACCCTCGGTGCTCAGGCTCGGCCGCTCGCCTCGCCCGCCGCTCCCCAGTACGCCCGCGCCGGCAGCGGAATCCGTGCGACTCTATCAGCCTGGCTTCCGGTCGCGTCATTGCCACGCGCCTGCTCCTACCCAAGTCCCTTTCGTGAGCTCGAGGGGCGCGCGCGGCAGCGAGTCGGAAGTACACGCGAGGGCCGCCGGGAGCGCACGCTCCCCGGGTTGCCGGGAGGCCGGGCATGCGCCGCGCGCGTTTTGGCGGGAAGTGCGGGGCGGGCGGACAATGAGAGTGTCCGCCGTCTGAGCCAATAAAGCTGCACTGGTTTTGAATTGCGGCGCGTTTCCCGCCGCCGGGGTCAGGGGTCGAGGTTCGGGTCGCGGGGCGGAGGGAAGAGCAGGCGAGCGAGAGGCGCCGGCGCCAGACGCGGAGAGAAGGAGTCACGACTAGTCGCCGAGAGGCCGCGGAGCCAGCGACGACAGAGCCAGCCGAGCCGCCGCCGCCGCCGCGCCCCCATGGCGGCCGCCAAGGTGCGGTCGGGACTGGGCGGGGACCGGGGGCCGAGGCGGCTACCGGCCGCCACGTGGGCGGCCCGCGCGGCGCCGCCGAGCCCCGCCGGCCTGCGAGCTCGGCGCCTGCGGAGCCTCCGTGGCGCGAGATCGGGGCTGTGGCGAGGCCCGAGGCCTTCGGTGCCAGGGGGCGCGGGCTGCTCGCGTGACCTTGGGGCGGCCCCGGGTGGGCCAGAGAGCCCCGTCGGGACGTGGGGCGGCCCCGCCTCGCGAGCTCCCGGGTCTCGCACTTAAGACGCGTGGGGATGGCGGTGTCCTCTGGCTCGGCCCGCCTGCGGGCTTCCTACCAAGGCAGCGCATCCCGTCGCCTACGCAGCACTTCATTCATTCTGTCTTCACGTCTAGAACCGCCACAGGCCTCTGCGGCGGAAGATCGCGTGCCAGCGGGGCGGACGGGGCCTGGACGCGCTGACCCAGGGTGGGGGCTGCTTTGCTGGCAGCGGGTGTCCGCTCGGGTGAGCTGACCGAGGCACAGCCGCAGTGTGGTGTTCAACCAAGAAAAGCAGTGAAGGCATAAATTGGCCCTTTCGGCCTGAGTCTGGAAGTGAAGTCTCTGTCTTTCTTACGGGTTTATACATCACCAAGCCATGTGTTTTGTAAGACTTGAAACTAAAATAGGAAGCTTTGCGCCCTATAGTTTCGTAAACTTGATCGGGATTTTCTGGCTCGTTTATTTGAACTTGTTTCCTTAAATTTGTGAGCCAGGATAAAATTGTTGATGGAATTGTGAGTTTCGTATAAATGCTAACAGTTCCATAGCAACTTTTTTTCCCTGATAGTAAGCAAGAGCACAGATTTTTCTCAACCAATAAAAACTTGAAAGGTTGTTTTTTTACTTTAAGGGTAACACTCCTTTAGGCCCTTTTCTGTCATTGCGTCCCTTAATTCTAACCAGGCAGTATCATCTGCATTTTACAGCTGAAGAAACTGAGGCAGGGAGAGGAGGGCGTCTTTTCCAGGCCATCCTGCCTCTGGGTGGCTGAGTGTTAGGAGCGCAGAGAGGTGCATTTGGGGAGAGAGCTGAAGTCCAGTGCCTCCCCGCACTGCGCATCTGTGGACTTTCCCTAGTGTGGAAGGCTGCGCGCTTAATCTCTTGCTTTGAGGTGAGGCTGGTCACCAGTAGGGGTGCCTATGGCAGGCACTGGTGAGTGCTGGGTGAGGGCCGCGCTCAAGGCCCACAGACTCACCTCTCCACGCTTTCTCCCGCAGGACACCCACGAGGACCATGACACCTCCACCGAGAACGCAGATGAGTCCAACCATGATCCCCAGTTTGAACCTATAGTTTCTCTTCCCGAGCAAGAAATCAAAACTTTGGAAGAAGATGAAGAAGAGCTTTTTAAAATGTAAGTAAGTTACTGTTGCTCCTGAAGCAGGTATCTTTAATATAAGATTGAAGTTACGGTTTTTATGGGAATGAAGGATTGGGCCTGACCTTTGATGGGATCGAGGCTGAGGAAAGGGTTTGGAAACCAAGACTGCTGTTAGAATCCACTCATTTGATAACTTTGTAGTGGGTGCCCTGGCGGCCCCATGGCCAGTGCTTTGGAGTGGGCAGGGACTTCTCAGTGACCTGTCACTGCTGCTGTATCCACGAGGCTGCATCTCTGCAGACCCCCGTCCTTGCCATCCCCGCCTCTAAGGACCCCTACATCCCACTCCCCCGGTGAGCAGGGACTCTCTGCCATTATTACTGCTTTTGTTTTTTTGCACCGTGGACTTTTGCAGTCTTCAGCTTGCAAATCCCTGGTTTGGTGCTATTAATGCACAAAAGAACACCTGGAATTGCGAATCAAAGTGGTTGGTGTAATAGTTGTTGAGGTGACTTTTTAGAAATTGGACATGTTTTTTGGTGCCATCAGTGAGAAGCTACAATGGCAGGTGTCATTTTGAAGTAATGCTGGCACCAGCCGTGTGTCAGGATGTCTGTGACAGTCACAGCAGTGCCAACTACGGCCTGATGCCCATACTCTGGATTGCCCCAACACTTGGTTCTGTTACCAGTTAGCAGAATTAGATCGTAGTGTTTTCTTTGCCCAAGCTCATGAAACTCCCCGCTTCAAGTGCTACCGGAGGTGCCGGGTTAAGGTTTGAGTGCTGTGCTGTGGGGAGGGAAGTGGAGGCCGGCCCTTCCCCACCACCGCTGAAGGCCTGGGGAAGGAGGGCCACGCGCCCCTTTGGTCTCTCAGAGGCTGGTGGGTGTCTCCCTGAAGACACTGGTTCTCTTGAGTCTTTGCTCTGCCCAGAAATGACGTCGCAGCCCACATGGTGGGTGGCAGGTGTTCCTTCCTGAGGGAAGGGAAGCCAGCAGGTTGGGCCCTTGGTGTCCAGGTCAAGCTCTGAGGGTGTCCCTGTGAGGACACCATTTCCCTTAACAGGTGAGGTTGGGGTAGAGAGCAGTCCTGCAGGAGAAGGACCCGCAAAGCTGGGGTTCTGTAGGGAAGCAAATGGCTTGCCTGGTTAGCTGGAAAGGGGGCCCTGTGGGCAGGACTCCTGGGCTCACTGCTGGGGCCTTGGTTCCTGTGGGGTGGGGGCTGTGCCCGGGCTCAGCCTGAGGAGCTCTGAGCAGGAAGGTGGGAATTTGGGCTACGGCCTGGTGGCCTGAACCCACTCTGGTTTGGAGGCCAGGGCAGCACAGGGGCCATCTTGTGGCTGACCAAAGGGCTGGCCTGTGAGGGCAGGGGCCTCGGCCTCCGTGGGCTCCAGGCTGGCCCTGCGGGACCCTGGGAGGCCCCAGTGATGGCAGGCGTGCCCAGCATGCTCAGGTGGGCTGCTTTGCTGAGGGCCTCTCTGTTGGAAGAAGCTGTGACTATAGAAGTCTTTTTTTCTTGTGAAGTGAAAACTGGGAATTTGCTGGGCCGTCTTGCTCTCCCAGTAATGTTTTGACTGACAGTTCTTGAAGTGCAAAGATAACAAAGGGCCTTGTTGACCCGGCAGAGGCAGCCACTTGTTCAGTGCGCAGAAAGCAGGTGTCCTCCCCACGCAGACGTATGTCTTGTTCCTCTGTGTGCACATCTGTGCTCTCACTCGGTGGCTTCTCTTGAAGGCGGGCAAAGCTATTCCGATTTGCTTCGGAGAACGATCTCCCCGAGTGGAAGGAACGAGGCACCGGCGATGTCAAGCTCCTGAAGCATAAGGAGAAAGGGACCATCCGCCTCCTCATGAGGAGGGACAAGACCTTGAAGATATGCGCCAATCACTACAGTAGGTGGCCTCTCGGGAGTGCTTTACCCTGAGTCCCAGCCCTCCACAGCAGGACGGCGTTGGGCTGCAGGCAGGTCACTTGGAGGGCTCCACTGGGACCCTGGGAGCATGCTGTTAGAGGGCGCACGCATTCGTGGTGCTTCTCCAACTTAAAATGGGAAGTGAGGTCTTCTGATGTGCCTCTGAGCTCAAGGCAGACCCACAGAGAAGCTCAGAGCACCTGAGGGGGTGGTGTCCGGCAGACAGACCTCGTGGGGAGACACGGCGTGGGCTCGGGACTGGAGGGCGGCCACTCCAGGCTGTGGAAGAGGTTCCCTGGGCAGCAGCCCCCATCCTATGGTTTCTGTCCCCTCAGGGCATCCCTTGGGGAGGAAGTGGCTACCTCACCCTCAGGCGCCTGCTCAGCTGCACAGAGAGTAGGTAGCAGGGGGACTGTGGACTGGCATGATGTGCCAGCCCTGGGTTGTGGGGGCATCCAGGAAAAGCCACATGAGGCCTGGCTTGTGAGGAGGGGACAGGAGGATCCTTGCCACGTCAGCCCTTTGGCTGCTAGGCTGTCTGCAGAGCTGTGTGAGCGCAGGTGTGTCCTGGGCTCCAGTCCCTTGCCAGTGCTGGGTCCGTATTTCTGGGCACAATGTCTGTCCAGTAGGCACAGGCCCTTGTGTGGGCATAGAGGGTGGCCACTGGCAGGCACTGGGGCAGAATGGCCCTTGTAGGTGATGCAGAAGCAGGGCGGGTTTGCAGAGGCCCTTAGGGAGGGGAAGGGCCCCCATGCCCCCGTCCCCCCGTCCCCGTGGCCCAGCCTTAGTGGCTTCCTTGGGAGCTGCTTCGCCTGGTCCTTATCCTCTAGCCCGATTTTAATTGTTCTTGCAGGGGTCTTCCTGACACCCTGTGCTTCTTCCAGAGCCTCGCCAGGGCACTGGGTGGTTGCTGTGAGCTGCAAGTGGGTCCTGGGCCTGGTACACACCATAGGCCCTCAGAGGGCTGGGTGGGTGGTGGCCAGAGAAGGTCGTGGCGCCTCTGTGTCCTGCACAACGTGTGGGTTCGCCAGTCGCCTGAGTGAGGGTGGGTGATTGCTCCCAGGGCATGTGGTGAGGCGTGGCCAGGGCTGTGCACGGGCCATCCCATGTGCCCAGAGACCTCTACGGGGGGTCACTGGGGGCATGGTATCCGGGATGCACCTTTGGGGTGCCCACCTCCCTTGTCTCCTCTTGGTCCTCATAGAGCTCGAGGCCACAGGGATGGGTGTACTTACTCCAGGCCGTGGCTCTGTTTTCCATGATGTGCGCGCATGTCATGAGGCCCTC